CAGGACATAGTAAATCTTTGCAGCGTCTCTTTGTCTCAGTTTTGTCTCTGATCTCTTTCTCTTTGCCTCCACAGCATTATCAACACGAGTAAAGGTCAGGAGTGTCTGCCCCCCACAGTCCTGCTGTCACTGGACATGTCTGAGTCAAGTGCTTATTAGCTTTGGCCTTTAGCTCTTTTAAGATCAGCTTCCAGCAGCCACGATACTAGTTCTTTTAGATTTCTGCCGGGCCTGGTGCCACACACATTTGGCTCTTTTTGAACATATTAAAACCAAAATGATGAATGGTGGCACTAATGTTTACAACTGCCACATGTCTACAGTTGTACACTTGTAGGTTTCCCCCCTTGACTATTCATTTATCATGTATTTATTTATTTTCTTACATTTAGTATATTTTTAATTTACTTTTGAAAATGGCATGGGCTTGAATCACATGTGACGTGTCTTGTGGAGATCTGGAAGTATGGTGAGTCTATAAAGTACATTTATTTAGAAATGACACTGCTCAGTGTCCTGGAAAAGCTTAGCAATGCCTGCATGCTGGAAGAAAGGCTTCAGTTGACTGATGAATGCAAATTCTGTCTCAGTTCTGGGAAAATTCTTGACAATTCAGTCAAACTGTTGGGCCATGAAAGTCTGCACACCAAAGCTAACTATCCTTTGTAGACTGTCAAGATGGCTTATGACCATTTTGTTGCTGGTACTATGGGAATTTGGGCGGCCCAGACTGTAAATCCCAACTTACTGACTCTGCCTAGCAGTTCGATGGAAACAGCTTGTTTTATCTATCTATCGACAATTTGGAGTACCAAATGCATAATTACACATAATTATCATCAGTCAGTAGAATCAAACTTTTTAATCGCACAATCATCTTAAAAATAAAGAAGTTGTCTGTCTCTTGAGCTCAAGTAATGCAAAGTAATGAGTAACTATGGTTAAACATGTTCATCCAGGTCTTTATGTTATTTGGACAAGACAGTTTCTCTAATTGATTTCTGCCAGCTGCCTTTGTACACAAGTGTAAGTGGGTGTGAATGTGCACCCAAATGCAGAAGGTCAGAGTTCAGAATACAAATAAAGACATTTATCAAGGATGATTAAATTCTAAGGGAAACAAAAAAAAGTACACAAAGATTACAAGGATCACTAGAAGTCCAAGGAATGCACTACAGAACAAACAAGAAACAAATGCGCAGACTACACAATGCAACACAGCAAAGAATGGATGCAAACTGAGGGCTTAAATACAAAATAGGTAATCAGGAAGATGGGACACAGAAGGATAATTAGACTCCACTGAAACTAATCAAGGTTGACAAAAAAAAAAACAGGAAAAAGACAGAAAATAACAGCTACTGTGTACCAGTAAAACAGGAAGTAACTTAACAGGTCAACATCTGACACAGAGATGCAAATTTAACAAGAAACAGGGAAACTCAAGGAATTAAATATAAACTATAAATCTGACCATGAACAGAAATTTAATGACAAAAACTACAAGTTAAAGACTAAACAGAGAATGTAATCATGAGGAAACTAGCCAGGGAATACCAGCTACATAAAAAGAAAACAAAACTCAAAAAGAAGTCAAAACAGCAAAAAAACAAAACAAAGTCCAAGTATTAATATAAGAACTCAAAACTCTTACACATGGCATCCAACTGTGATTACTACCTCTACACCATCAAATGTGCAGTATTTCCTCCTCGATTTTCTTTATAGTATTAGTGGTTGTGTACATTTAAAGCATCTCGTCATGTGGGACACCTGTTTACCTGCTCACATTGTGCGGATCTTTTCTGCTTGGCTGCAGAAATTTGGTCCACACAATCAAATAAATAAATAATGAAACGATTAGATTTAAAGTGAGATACTGTTTATGGTAACTGTGATTAGTGTTACAATAATTCCATAGGAAATAAATGTGCATCATGACAAAGACCTCTGAAGTGATGAAAAGTGCGTGTGTGTGTGTGCTCAGTGGGGCTCGGGTCAGCACTCTCCACTTTCAGAATTGACCATCTGGTGTTTGAGCTCTGAGGCATCTCTTTGGCCTGACACAGCACTTTTGCACACTCGCACACAAACACAGATTCTGGCTTCTTCTTTCTCTCCTAACTGTTGTCACTGCTTCAGAAAACACAGATACATTTAATTACAATAAGCTGGTGTATTGCCAATCAATAGCTTGCACCACCACCACTTACAGTGACAGTGTTTTGGAGTGAGACGCAGTGCTGCTAGCCAAATGAACAAAACTAAATGTATATAATGTTTAAATAAAATAACTTTTTAAAACCTCTGCATTTTGTTTGGTTTGCTTTTCCTTTTTCAACATATTGATCTAGAAAACATCTAATCAATATGCTACCACACCGCTCTTTATTGGTGATGTGTAATACGGAAAAGGAACCTGCACAGCTGCTGTAAAACTAATCAATGCTTGGCACCACAACCCTTTATTGATGATATTTTATATAGCAACGGCTGCAGTCTTGCAGGCAAACTTAAAAACGAATCAATAGCTCACACCACAGCTTCTTAGCACTGCAATATTTGGGGACAGGATACAAATGGTCCGGCAACTCATCAGTGTATAGAACTGCATCCTCTTATTGGCGATACTTTTTCTGAGAAATGATAATAGAGACTTCACGGCAATGTGCGGTTGTCTGTAAAGGGCAAAATATCGTAGCAGTGAGGTTAAAAAAGACGCAAGACATTTTGAAGCTTGGATTGTACCCCCTATTGCGTGTGCAGCTGCCGAGAAGGCATTTAAAGACAGTGCTACACAAAGAGTAGTGCAATGGATGATAAGCCTTTTGGATTTGATTTATTTGATTCAGACAAAATATCTCAACCTTGTGCATGTCTTAACAAAATCCAGTGGTAACCCATGCAATGCCTCTCAAGATGAACTGCATTAACTTTAGTGATAACGTCACTGTTACAGCCCTAGCAGGGCCTCCTCTTGATATTGGCTTTGTGTGGGTGTGGTGTTCTCTCTCTGTCTCCGCCTCTCTTGCTCCTCCCACCCCTCTGTCCCTCTTTCACTCTGCCCTCTCTCCACGACGCACCTGCTGTTCATTACCCTCGTTTGGCACCTGGACCCAGCCAGCAATCACCTCTCAGAGATTATATGGGCTGGGGATGAACTGTGTGTGGGGTGGTTTTCCCTTGTGGCTCTACACTGTCTTTCTAGGTGTTGGAAAGGTCCCACTGCATATTTGTCCTGCCCGTGGTTTTATGTTGAGTGAGTAGACGGGCCTGTGGGCCCCGGAAGTGTCTCCCCGTGGTGAGGAGTTAAGTGAGAAGTGGGAAGTGCCTCCTTTATTTGTTTGGTAGTTTTTTTCCTTTGTTGCTGCGACTGCTTCCTTTGCTTCTTTGGCATTATTGGTAAAACGGCTTTGCCAGCTCTTTAGGTTATTTGTAATAAAGCCATATTATGTGCTGAACACCTCTGTCTGGTTTCCTTTTCATTCCGTTCCGTTCCCATTTGTTACCGGTCCCCACACTCACACCCCTAGACCTCCTTCGTGGGGACGTCACAGTCACAAAAATTTGTAATAATAATGATAATAACTACGGTAATAGTAGCATAATTCGACAGATTAGACAGACACTCAATTTAAACAAACAAAATAAATATCACAATATTTAAAGATAAACACCTTCATTTGGAAATCATGGCATAGTTTAAAAAAATGTTATCATTATATTTTGTTTACACGCATAATGACTGATAAATTTAAGGGTGGTTGTTGAGTAGACTGCTAATGTTATTATTAGGTAATCAGCTTAAATTATTTAAGTAGATTTGGATGGTGGCCTTTTAGCTGGTGCACTAAATTGCAAGTATTATTTGAAACTATGTTATTTGCATAATGCTTTTTGTGAATTGTTTATTGCCCAAATCTTAATGCCTTTCTTATTAAGTCAGGGTGAAGCAATGACAGCAGCTGCATTAGTCGTCATTTTCTATGTGTAAAGGTATGAGAAGTAATAATTAGTGTTACATTCACATTTGCAAAGGTTAATATAAGCTTCTAACATAGCTCCTGCACGTTTGCGTTTATTAAAGTGTTTCTTTGTTTGTTTGGTTTAGTTTGAAGCAGCAAGTTTTTCAGTTCAAGACGACACAATCACAATTTCTGCCTACGGGAGACAATAAAGTAACCTAATTGTAATTACATTTAATGGGTTTTTTATAACATAACATTCTATATCTATTCAGATTTAATATCCGGTACAGTTATACTGTGTGTACGACAATAGAGTACCACATTGCACTCCATCTGTTATCGTACAATATTAGAAATGGGGAGTCGTGATTTATGGTTTACTTGCATGTGTGTGTGTGTGTGTGTGTGTGTGTACGGTTAGAAAGTAAGTGTGAAGGTAAGGATATCTGCAAAACAACTCAACCAAGGACAAACGAGAGACACAAATGAAAAACTTTAAAGTCTGAAAGTGAAAGTTTGTAACTCTGAAAATCTAAAATTCTTTAGGCTTTGTTTTTACTCTTCTTTTGATTTATGAAGACCAAAGAGACTTGTGATGAAATTCCAACATGTATTGAGTTTAAATGGCTATTAGGAAACATTCTCTGTAATATGTAATAAAGGAGCAGCAGTCTGAGGTCCTTGACCCATTTAAATGACATTTTCTGCACTGAAAAAGTTATCTGTTTGAGTAAAATAAGTTAAGAACAACCTAGAAACAGTGTGTTCAGCCACTGCACAGAAATTAGTTTCAAACTGCCGACAGTATTTTTTTACAATGCATTTGTGCGTCTGGAACAACTAAACATGACTTAAAGGTCAAGCTATTCTTTAATCTGTCATGTTCTCACGCACTGACACACAAACACAGATGTATACACACACACACACACACACACACAGAAGAAAGTTTATTACTTTCTACACCTCAAAGGTTGAAATGTAATAAATTTCTTTCAATCTTTTGTTTTTATCATTTTTGTGTCTCTGCAGGAGCTGGAGGTTGGTCACCTATTATTTCAGACCGATATCAGTGGCTCGAGGTTGACTTGGGTGAGCGGACCAAGATCACAGCTGTCGCCACACAGGGCCGGTATGGCAGCTCTGATTGGCTAACGTCTTACCTGCTGATGTTCAGTGACACGGGGCACAACTGGAGGCAGTACAGACAGGAGGACAGTATTGGGGTGAGTCTACAGAGCAATAGTAGTCCCAAACAACAAACTGAAGACTATAGAAATGTTTTTAATGACTTTAATAATTTAAACAGGTATAACGAAAACTTATATGGCAAAAATACCTTTAAAACTACACAAGTAGAAATGTACAAGCGTCATTACACTGAAAAAATAATCATATTGATTGCAGCTAATTTTCCTGTCATATTTGGAGACGATTAGGTGTTTCGTGGAGCTGATTTGCACAAATCAGTCAGTCCTGCAGAGATAATCACAGTCATCAGAAGCCCTTTGACTCTTCATTAATAATGGATGAACCAATGAAAGGGCTCTGCTGACTATGCTGACCTGTTGCCAAAACACTTAAGCTGCTGTTGACGGACACAAGTGAGACAAGGAGACCGAGGCTGTGCAATTTAATCTAAAGGCTTTCTGAATGCTAAACTGAAGAAAACTACAACTTTGTTTTAAATTCAATTCAAGGACGCCTTTATATATGCACATATTGAGTCTCACCTGTCCTTTCACTTGATGTACGGTATGGACATGAGGGTGACTTTAAAAACTTCAAAGGATGTTATAATAGTTTTGATAATGTAATTTTATTTTTTTAATAACTTAACACTATGGATTGTTTTCTGTATTCGATTTTTGAATAGAAATTACATTTTTGTGATACTTGCACACTACAAACATCACACAGTTTTTAGCTTCCTTCAGTCTCCATTATAAGCTAAGTAACACAGCTACTGGCTATAGTTTTATACTTTACTTTTTAACTTCTTTCCACAAGGTTCAGAAGCTGCATCTCTTGCCTGACTGCTTTGAACATTAAATAAAATACTGCAGTCTTTGGGATAAATAAATCCCAGCTATAGGAATGGTAATGCTACATAAATCACACATTGTGTGTTAGTTTAAATCTTGACTGTCAACGAGTCAGTTGCTTCTTTAGGACTGAAGAAGCAGTGAGGCATTCCCTCATAGCACATTGCTTCGTTGTTTTCCCTTTCCAAGTGTCTTGTCAGACTTACAGTTGCACTTGAAAATATGGGTCAGTATTAGAGGGATACTCAGTAGTTTTCAGTTTTTGTGATCTGTAAAAACACATGAAAAAAATCCTGTAAGAACAGTGAGCCCATTGTAAATATGTCTCCAGTGGCTTTAATGTCAAATCCAGTAGTCTAGTACACATGCAAAATATGGTATACTGCTCCACTGTGAGCATGACCATTTATCCGGGGTGAAGCCGCATTTGTTACAGTGCTGCAGAGAGAAGCTTTCGATTAGGAGTCGAGCCGTGGCAATTTCCTCCTGTGAAAAGAATTGAGTTAATCTCAGCGCTGAGGATCTTCTGTGAGAGAGAGCAGAGGACAGCTCTTCACAGCTTAAAAACATGTTGATCTGATGCTCTACATAAACTCTGCACAATCCCAGTCACATTTCAAAGTGTTTCTGAACTTTTGTGAGTTAGTCAGCCGGGCTTAGAGAGCTTGTCAGAGAAAAAGTTGAGGACAACCACACCACTTTTTGGTGCTGCTTTTTCTGGCAGAGTTGTATCTTTCTTTCCATGAGAAAGGGAAACTAAGGGGAATATATTAAAATTGTAGTATTGTTCCCGGAGGCACATGGGGTAAGCACGGCAAGTAACTCTACAAAGTAAGACAGTGGTTACTCAAAAAGAGAGACAAGGAGAAAAGCAGAAGAAAACCCAGAAGACAAAGAGAAGAAATTAGACTTGGACCCAAATGAGAACTAAACAGCCTGTTATCATTCCCAACGCATATCATTGTCACACCCCTAGGCGTCTCATAGTGATGCAAAAGGTACCCTTCCTCGTCTGTTTGAAACATTCTGGGTTGTCAATTGACTCCAATATAAACCCGCTCGCGGCGGTAAGAGATGCTTAGAGCACAGGATCCAGCTGTCCATTCCAACACAAACGCATCAAAGTATTTCTGATAATTCAACAATAAAATAGCTTCGTGTTGGGGACATCACGTAGTGTTTTCCAAACTGATTCAGGATCTGAAAGTGAACAGATTTAACGCACATAATGCTTTGTTAGGTTTATTATTTTCATTTCACAAGTAAAACACATTTATAGATTCATTCCAACTCGCTCTCATTCCCAACAGGTAAAACACAGACGACTGTGGCAAATCCTCTGTATTTTACCTGTTGGGATGAGAACGTGTTAGATACTCGAGAGACAATGACAATCACCTTCCTTTGGCAGCTTTCTCTCTCTTGTCTTGGCTCTTTTGTATAAATAAAATTATATGAATCAAGAGTTTTAAGCTGTCTTGAGTAAATGATAGAATACCCATTCATATAAGTTAATAATAATAATAATTATTATTAATAATAAGATATAATTGTACACCTAAGTTGCCTAACATAGAGGCAGTCTTAGTGCACCTGTCCATGTCAAGTGAATGAACAATGAGTGTTTGTGTTCAAGGACTCTTCCAGGGCTTTCTCTTCTCTGACTGTTAAAGTAAATGAGATGCTGCTCTATCCACGAAGTCTGGGCTTTGTTGGGCTGAATGCTCTTCTGGTTCATCAGCTGAGATGAAAAACTGTGTTCAGCTGCTTGGTCTAAAAATAAGGCCTCCTCATAACCCAAGCATACACAGCTCCTAGGGTCCACGGTACAGTACTGTCAGTTCACATATGCTGCTAATTTTATATACTATAATATGTTGGTGTGCTTGCTGGAATCGTGTATCACTGTGTGTGTGTGTGTGTGTGTGTGTGTGTGTGTGTGGCACTGCAGCCAATTTGTTCCTTTTAGCAGAAACAACAGATGAAGCTTTTATTTTAAAAACATGAGCAGTATCCAGGCACAAACATACAGATTTAAACACTATTAAAGTTACACATCATTCTTCTTTTCACCATATAAGCAGATCCAACTCTCCTAAGTTAATGAGTTAATTATGTGTATAAGCTTTTTTTTCAGAAAGCGGGAGCCAGTTAACCTGCGTGTCAACTTCACAGGATGCATGTAATTATGATAGATTGCCAGATGGAATGGCTGTAAAAAAAATAAATAAATAGAATAAACCAAATTAAGCCATTTGTCACCCAGCCCGGAGTAAGAAGGAAACAATTTTCTGTTCACATTTTTAAAGGCAGGCTGTTTATTGTTAATCCAAAGCAACATCAGAGCAAAATACCATTAACTTTTTTTTATTTGTTCATTTCCTCAGTTTTGTGTGAAAAATCCAATCATCATCTGAGTGATTGAAATGAAATTTTATACAGACAGTTGTGGTTATGAAAGTGATGAACTATTATGGAAATTTTGATGAGACAAGTGTCATCATTGCACAAAGACGATGCAAGTTCTCAGACTCAGAT